AAACCCAACTGTAAAATACATGCTTACGATACGGAAAGCCTTTTTGGAAGCTATCACATAACTGTGACCTGGTAAGTACTATGCTGTGATCACACTTTTTGTGCTACTCAAAGGAGAATGTTCCTGAAATCAAATGTTTTTGCACTACTTCTCCACATTTTAGTCTCCTGATACTTGGACGATGTCTTCTCTGTATGGGTTTCCCAGCCACGCTGTATTCTGTGGGACCTCCATCGGCTCAGGCTCAGGGTCCCCACCGTGCACCTGGAGTTCCGTCTGGGACCTGGGCTTCTGTTCTCTCGCCTCTGACATCCCTAGAGTGCTGTGCTTCCTGTTCTGTGGGTTGGACCCCCATTTCTCAGATCGTGTGTTATCTTCCTCTTTGATTCTTCACTCTTTCTGCTGGAGTAAAACCTCTGGACAATTTCTAAGGGAATAATGAGCACCCTCAGTCTGTCCTAGATTTAGGGTGCTTCCCTCTGCACTGAGCAGGAACAGCCCCCTTATCTCTCAGAGCTGAGTGAAGCTCAGTGACCTGATGTCACTCCCACCTGCCTTACGCAGAGTTGCTGTTTCCACAGAAGTTTTAATGACCTAAGTATTCCAGGTGTTTGTAAATTTTCCCAGGATCTTTGCCATGTATGTTACTTGAATTCAGAGCCCTTAAAGTTGGTTTCAGGTGTCCCTATGTTCTGGAGAACATTATTATTTTATTTAGAGAACAATGATTTTGCCTCTAAGTTTTTTGTCTCATTACATCTTCTATTGGACTTGGGCCTCTTGATTTTACTAATTTTTCTATAATGCTTAAATATGGTTTATCTGTATTCTGCTCTCAGCAAGATTTTCATAATGATTTTCAACCATTCAACTTCATTTATTTTTGTATTTGATACTCATTTTTGTTCTGAATTTTTTCACAGCACCCTGCCCTTTGTTTTATTAATTCGATATTTTCTTGATTTTCTAGATGGCAGAAGGCTGGTACAGTGAACTAATTTTAGCAAGCCAAGATGAATTCATTTTAGAAGGCTGTGACAGCCCTACCTAAAGATTCCAACTAGTAAAACATCAGAAATTCTATAACCTCACTTCTGTATACAAAAGCAATAATCTTCAATAACAAGTTAAATCTACCTGTTCACTAAAAGAATAATTTTATACGATAAAGCAGAGTTTATCTAGGACATGCAAAGAAGGGGCTTTGATAATATATTCCTCCTCATTAGGTCATATGAGAAAATTACAGGATTTGAAAGAAATGCTAAACAATTGTTAAAATTTCAGCCTTATTCCTCCAAATAACTGTCATAACTCAGAACTGAAAAAAATTAAAATGAAGAAAACTTTCCCAGCACAATATAACCATAACTCATATTGATGATTAATATTAAAATGAATAGCTGAACAATAGGTTTCTTTATTAAACTGGAGGACAGAAACATCTGCATGAATCACTACATTATATACACGTAGAAGAACTCCAACCAGGCCAATGGAAAGATTAAGTAATTAATTTACGTGGCTTTATCTGATGGACACAAAACATCCCTCTACCTCAACATACTGCTCTGCCTTCTCTCTTCTTCAAACTGGCAATCAGGCTGCTTATGAAGCCTCCACCAGTCACTCAGATCCTGGGACAGGAACCTGAAGACTTTCACTGAACACTGTGCATCCGATTAGCTAATGCCTCATCTAGCAAGCAAGAACAGGGTAAAGCACTCATTCCTTTCTAAAATCCAAATGACTTGGAAGGTTGTGAGGTTTTGAGGGTAAGGAAGGAGTATGAGGTCAGGTGAAGGCCAAGAGAGCTACTTGTTATACCAGGAAGCTAGTAAAGGAACAAGGCAGAAACCGAAAGGACAACCCTTGTCATTTTTACAATTTTGAGCAGGGCTAGTCTGACTCTAAAAGTAACTGTGACACATGTGCTGAAATAGTTACTATATATTTAGTTCACTAACGTTTCAACAACCCATTTACGTGCTTCTGAAACCCCACAACAATACTTAAGTTTCCCCAACAGGTGTTGTTCGGCCTCCACACTAGCTGTAGTGATATAAAATAAAATTGGAAATTGTATTTTTTTTCTTTTCACTGGCATAACAGGCTACCCGTCTAACTACACACCTCTCACCTCACACGAGGGCACTAAGCTAATTATAAAAGCCAGTTTAAATCCAGCTGCCTATCTTTTGTTTTGCTGCCTACCTGGGCTTTTTCTAAGCAAGCAGAAAATCTCCAATCAGTCTGTTAGCACAACCAGAATAAAAGAGATTAGTGACAATGGAGAAAAGCAGAATCAGTTTACATCCTTTTGGGCAAGAGAATAATATTACTTCACAAGCAAGAAATCTGAGGCTCCCTGACTTTAATTTAGAAAACCTGCAGTTAATAATCACATTAAAGTTGGTTTTACATGCCAGACAGTTTTTGTTTCCTCTGTTGTTTTTATAATTTGAGTGTCCTTTGTGGTTACTACAGTTATTTGCTGGAAGGTATATTTTAACATTTAAAATATTTAATCCACAATAAAGCATGTCTTATAGTTTAGGTGTATCTGAGTTAACATACACTTTATGTCATTATTTTTAAAGCTAAAAACACTGCTTGTTTTTATGCAGAGTCGAATGCAGCAATCTAGCTACTAATTATAACAATTAACATACTTAATTATTTTCTTAATTGAGGAATAAAATAGGGTTTTTCCTATAATCTGTCAAACCAAATAAAGAACCGTGTAGATCCCACAACTGCCACACTTTCACCTCACCCCCTCCAAAGGTCAATTATTTCTGGGCAGAAAAAGAAGCAAGCCTGAAGCTACAAATTTAGCAAGGAAACCGGGTCAAATAACAGCTGTGCTGTGCAGGGGCAAACTGGTCAGTGATCAGGTCAGGACGCCGAGGGAAAGGGAAGACAGTGACAGCCAGTTGAACCTGGCTTCTTTTTCACACTCAAATACTTAATGAAAACAAATCTAATTAACACCATAAGCCAAAAAGAAGTGTAAGTGATCTTTTAAAGTAGACTGACTTTCACTTTCCACTCTTCAGAGGCACCACTAGCAGAACCCATTTCAGCTGCGTCGGAGACTGCCCAGCTATTCCCTTGTGCTGCTCAGGGCGGCGCTGGGTCTGCAGGACACCTGCTCTGAAACAACACGCGAGGGTGTGCTGTGCACAGGTGCTGAAACGAGATGCTGAGAGCAGCCACGGAGAGGATGCGGAGTGAAAACGCAGCCCCGTGGAACCTCGTACGGGAGAAGAGTGACAAGGGCAGTCGTAGGCGCTACAAAAGTTTAGGTCTGCTATTTTCAAGGTACTCTTGATTTTATGAAAAGAGAAATAATATTTGGTGGGCACACATACAAACGCAAAAAGTCATGCTTGCCACTTCGGTGATAGAAAAAATATCTATTGCAGACATAAAACCAGTGCCCCTGGGGGAGGTCTAGGGGGAAGAAAACACTCAGCATGAACCCACAGAAGTTCAAAAGACTCTGAACCACCACCACCCTTGGAAATGGAGTACGTATGGATGTTCTAGCTCTATGAGGCTGTTGGTTAGAGCATATACATTCTTAGTATTTTTAAAAACTTCGATCTCTCTCAAAAATACACAGAAAAAGCAAATCAGATTTTAATGACAACAAATTAAAATACAGCTCTACTCAATTTCCTATCTGTGGTTAGCATTAACTACAGAGACTCAAAGAAATACTTAAAAAGTTAAAAGTAGTACTAAGTGCGCTATTCTTTTTCATAAGCAATTGAACTCAAGGTTCTGGGCCCTTTTGTATCAATGTTTTGTACTTTCTAGCCATGATTTAGTAATTTTGTTCATCACTACATTATTGACAGCTGTGTAATTACAGGCTCATAATACTTAAACATCAATAACCATGGAATGTCTTTAATGTGGTCAAATATTTACTGGTAAGTCATCACTAACTTGATCTTTTATAAACAAGCTTCACGGGAGAAAACAGGGCCTATCCCAGCAACAGTCTTAGCAGAAGCAAAGGTAACTTTTGGTTCCCCAGTCACTAAAGGTCTCCTTAAGAAACAGCAACAAAAAAACTGTTACTGATACAACAGCTATTTCACCCATGATTGTAATTTACTCTGAAGTGAAAACAACACAAAACATCTTATAAAAACTCAAATAGTGGTCTTTTAAGTGTGAGATTTTGGAAAGACTGTATTATAATAATAATACTCATATACATAAAATTTGAAATTCTAAAAGCAGGTTCTATTCAAAGTGGGTAGGAGAGAAGAATGAAAAGAAAAATCTTCACAGTAATATTTTTTAAAGTTTGTTTTTAAGTTAAGTTGAAGTTTACTATGAAAAGTGACTTACAGTACTCTTGACAAGCTTTTGTAGGATTTTTTTTAGTGTTTGATAGCTGTGTTTAGCAATCATTTTGCTAAAAGTTTTCTTTTTAAGTTTCGTGTTCATCGAAAAAGACCTCATGACACACTAACAGAATTAAAAGGGAAATCTTTGGTTTCAGTAAGCCATTAAGTATTTTTAGATCATCAGAATGTATATGAATGGTCCATAACATAGTTCGGAGATGGTAAACATTCTATTTACATTATAAGAACAGGGCTCACTTAGCCCAACCACCTGTCTAAATATACCAGCAATCTGCACTTCACTGTTAAAAAGATCCAGCTGAAATACAACTTCTCTAATTCTGATCAGTTTGAGAACTATCTTTTCCAGAATTAAAAGGTCACTATAAACACAATACCTGGCACTGTTTTTCTGTGATTAGGTTTCAGTAGCTTAAATCTCCAAACACTAGCATTCCTCACACAGACTCACATCTGCTTCTTGCTTATTTCATTAATGGTTCACTTCCAGGTCCTCAAAGAATTGCAGCCTCTCTCCAAAGATAACGTAGGACCCATCTATGTCTGCCTTCTGCATAACTGGCTAGTTCTGGTTTGTCACTCTCCATACAATGCAAATCTGAGGGAACTCACATCTGTCACAGATCGACCCAATTCGTGGGCAATCTTTTCCCATCGACCTGGAGTCCCTCCTGGGAACTTAACCATACTTCTTGTCAGCTGGCTAAGGTCCTCTTCTGTCCATTCAGGTGCCTGCAAAACAGTAAAGAAAATAAAAAAGATAACTGGGAAAACGTCTGCTAAAACATTTAACAAGACCGTGAAACAAATTATTGGCAATATGTGTTCTGTGAAAAATAATACTACAGTGTATATCCAAAAGTTCCAGCAGCCTTTTAAAAATTTTCCTATGTATATCAAATAAGAAAACAAATACTGCAAAACCACTTTTGAAGACATTGAAAAAGGACGACCATGCAGCTCTTACAATGAGAAACCATTTTTGAAGCCTATGAGGTTCATTTCTGCTACAAAATGCAATGCTGCTCACAAATGCTTCACATGATCTGACTGTTACAGACTATAAAGCTTAAAATATAAAGAAAGCAAAAAAAAAAAACTTTAAGAATGTGAACATGTAAATATACTGGTTTAAAAACAGAACTGAAACAAAGAATTCTTGTTCATTCTATGTAACAATAGTTAATTTTTAAAGTGTCTTAGAAGTTTTACTTGTTAAATGGTAGTTTTTATAAAATGACAAATACAATTAGAAACATTTGTGACCAAGACTTAAGCCATCCATGCAAGACAACATTTCTTTTTTTTTTTTTTTTTTTTTTTTTTTTTTTGTATTGGGGATCAAACTTGGGACCCTGCACTTGTGAGGCAGGAGGCGGAACCACTGAGCTAAATCCCTGGCCCAGCAACATTTCATTTTTGAAAAGGTAAACAAGGGTCCCTAAGTTGACCAAATTATTTTGAATAAGTAAAACACTTTAAAGATGACAAAAACCACACAAAAATATCTCTCTGTGCTTTTATTCAGCAGTACCAGTGGCCAAATCTCCAAGTGAGCAAAGAACAAAATTACTACTGAGGAACAAAAACTGTGTGATGATTATTTTACTTTCTCTTAGTACTAAGCTATCCCCCATCAGAGCCAGTTAGCCGTTCTAGTATTAAACAATACTCAAGTAGCCAGCAGAGATTGAGGAAACCTACCTTATTTTCTTTTAATTAGGAAGAAAGAAAAGGTAAGAAAAGAAGAGAGAAAGAGGAAGGTCAGGAGAGGGAGAGAGGAAGGGAGAGGGAGAAAGTAAGAGGGAGAGGGAGAGGGAGAGGAGAGGGAGAGAGAGGGAGGGAGAGAAGGAAGAGATTGAAGAGATTTGGAAGGAAATCTTTGAAACAAATACCTTTTCTAATCACCATTTCCGATAATGAACAGGCGCACATCAGGCAGTTTGCATTACAGAACCGTCAGCACACAACAACAGTCAGAGGTGAGTGACCCCAGGGACTATCTCCACAGCTACTGCAAAGCTTCTCCCTGACACTAATCCTCCCTGTCATTCTCCCACTGTGCTCTAACCACACTGACATCCGCCTGCCTCACTGTGAGCTTAACGGGGCCCTTACTGACTTTTTACTGTCTCCCCCAATCAATGGTTCAAGCGTGCTCTTTTCACCACGTCCAAATGGCAGCTTCACTCATAATCAAAGTGCACTGCCCCTGTTAAAGGGCTTTCCGAAAGGCTCTCCCATTTGCATTCATTTGCAAAGCAAACTACTTTTATTCACTTTGTTCTGCTATCAAGAATGTTCCCTGAAGCAGATAAATTGGCATAAATACAACCTGCCACTTAAGAGTCAGTAAATAATAGCCAATAGTGGGGAGGATTTTATCAATCATTCTATTTTGTATCCACTAAGAGCTGAAAGCCTGGAACATATTCATCAGTGCAGCCCCCACAATACATGCATAAATTCACTTATATGAAAAGGTAGCTGCACTGGGTCTGGCTGGAATTTCTTTGATACTTAATGAATATCTGAAATCTAATTCTCCATATTAGATGGTTTGTAAAATTACATGGAGGGTTTTAAAAATGTTCTTTTTGCCTTATTCAAGAGAAGAGTAATATTCAAATACTTTCAGAAGAACATAGTTGGATTTTCAAGGTAATATTTTTATTGCTAAAAAGTGAAGCTTTTCTAAGTATATAAATTGGTCTCAGAAATACAAGAGTTAAGTTTTAAGTAGAATTTAAATATAAGTCAACAGAACAAAATCATACCACGAGTATCATTATGTTGCAACTGCAGAAAGATATGCACTGATACAGTATTCAAAACATCTATCAGTGCAGTTTCACGCTAAGTCAAATCATCTAACTTCTACATTAATTAACAAACACTTCAGGGCAAACAAAATTGTCTAAAATACCCCCCAAAATGTAAATCACTGTTTCACATAAAAGCAATTTTAAATAAATTTGTATTTTAATAGACTGGTTTTCCAAATAGCTGCATGTATGAACCCATCTGATTTTAATTCCTTGTTAACAAGAGTCTAAAAGTATAGTACTGCTTTTTTCCTCAGAAAGATACATTTTAAACAAAATATCTGGATTAATATCTTGAAAAATCATCAATAGCTATGACAAACTTTCCTTTTAGTTTCATGGTTATTTATTTCATGGCCATGGTTTTTGCTAATGTCCTAAAAAGATGGATCACAACTAGCACCATAATTTGAAATCAAAGAGAAGCCTTTTAGCAATTCATTATTCTCTCTCCTACAGCTGGAAGGCACTTTGGTGAATGTGTAATTCCTCAGCTCTAGTTAGTTGTGTCTTTAGAGGCAACAGAGCCTACTGTGATCCAGCTACTACAGCAGCCCTGAGGGTGGCCATGGTGTGAATGTGTTCTCCCTGTTCTACTCTGGAGCCAACTGTAGCTGTGAAAGTCAAATGAATGCATGAGCACACTGCTTTGCTACTTAAAACCATGTGTGTCCAATATTACTCAAACACTGGGCCAAAAATTCATCTCTACAGTAAAGTAATGGGACATACCACATGGTGTGGGGACAGCTGCTGTGACTACACCAAGCATTCCAATTTTGCATCAGAAAAGCCCTGCTTGGGAATAAATCTCCATACTGAATAAACATAAAAAGTAAGGCTTCAAATTATTCAGTATTTTTATGCAATAATCCAAAAATATAGCTACCAAAGTAAGAACTGATGAAGAAACTTAAATTGTATTACAAATTTTGGGATGATTTTTTGTCACAAAGTTTGCTACGTTTACAGACATGGTGTCTTTGACAATTTTTAATAATTTTGGGGTTATGGGGGTTGGAGGCCGAAGATGAAAGTACAATGTATTTTTACATAAACTACATGTATATTTCCCTTCAAACTTAGACCCTAAAGTGTTAATTATAAAGTATTATGCAGTTTATTTGATACTGAAGTTATGATCAATTTTTTTAAGAATTGTGTATTGTTTTTCATAATTTAATGCCAAAAAGTCCTTTTCTATCAAAGAGATATAGGAATTTCCTAATGAGAAATATTTCTATTGACATGGCCTGTTAATGATCATTATTTACATAATTACAGAGGTTAAGTTTTTAGGTTCCATTATTTTTAAATTCTCAAAATCTTACTCAAGAAAATACTATCCTTCCCTACTTAGCATCACCCAGTCAAAATATCAGATCTTCAGCTAGTAAAATGGATGGTATAATACTAATTATCTGCTAGCTTTTAACTTTATGTTCTGCATATACTTTCTGCATTTAGCTTTCAGTTACACAATTTTTATTCCCAAATGAAAAATTGAGTAGTTAAGTGCCCTTGACAAACACTTATGATATATGTTAACAACAACAAAATTAAAAACAAAGCACCTTAAATGCCTTCACTTTTAGAGTTGACCATGATAACATAATCCTGTAATCCCAGCACTCTGGGAAGCTCAGACAGGAGGGTTGCAAGACAGGAGGGTAGGCAATTTAGTGACTGAGAGAGACTGTCCTGTCTCAAAATAAAAAAATAAAAGGGGCAGGGGATGTAACTCAGTGTGAAGGCCCTGGTTTAATGCCTGCTATGTTCAATACACGCACACATGCGCACACACAAACACACACACACAACATTTACTTTTAGCAAGAGAAAGTTCTTTGAGGTATCTCTTCCTGGCTTACAGGTCTCCATCTTCCATGTGTGTAGGGAGACTTTCTAGTCTCTTCCTCTTTATATAAGGGTACATTTTCCCCTCAATTTTTATTTTTTATCAGGGCATGCTTGCAATACATAGCGGTTACATTCCTTGTGTGGAGTTGGTTCATGTATATAACGTCTTAATTTTCGTTCACCTCCCATCTCTTGGTTCCTTCTGTTTAAGGGTGTTATTTTATAAGGGTACCAATCCTTCAGATTCATGGGGCTACCAACCCTTAAGACTTCACTAATTGCCTTCTAAGGATCTGTCTCTAAATACTGTACAATCACATTGGAGGTCAGGGATCCAACATTACAAATCTGAGGGGACATAATCTGCACCATACCTGGGAGGAAACACACAAAGCAAAGTTAAAGCAGAAGCCCACAACGGGACCTAACTAAATAGTAATCCAAAATTTACAAGAATTTATGCAACAAATGGATGGAAGGGCAGGGGTTGGCACTGGTGCTTCCACAACAGCCATTCTAAGTTAATTGTACATCTGCTGAAATAATCAACTGGCAAGGCTGCATCCCCTTAATCACTACTAGAAGTCCCACTAAATTTAAACAAAGTAAACTTTAGAATCTTGGGGGCTTTACTGAATATAACAGAGAGCAAACAGGTATGCCATACCTTAACCATAGAACCTACTGTCTTGCCTAAGTTCCCATGGTCATAGCACCTATCCTAATATCGCAAAGTGGTCATGGTCATTTTCACTCAATGAGCACTCAGTTAAAGTTAAGTCTTTGGCACTCACAAATAGACGGGCTATAAATAGAACCTAAGGACTCCCCATTAAAATGGTAAATATGCCCACTATAACTTAAAGCAGGGCCTTTATTGTCTGAAACGCATTATGTAAGACCTGTTTAGAGAGAAAGTGATTATCTGTACTGCTAGTCCATTTAACAATCCAATTTGGCCTGCCCTTGCTCATGGGAATGAACGGTTCCTTGTGGTAGATTAATGCTGTGGACTTCATTAAGGATTCACACCCAAAATTACTGAAA